CTTCCCAAAGGGACTGTCATTTACTTGGCTTCATGAAGCAGTTGTCAGTCAAAAACCCAGGTCACTATCTCAACCCAAAAGCTGTGTAGGGTCCTGCCCATCCTTCAAACCATACTAAAAAAAAATTCCAGCAAAAAAACAGTATTGATACTTTCTGCAAGTTAGGGACACAGATCAGAATGTCAACATTAGAAACTTCCCTGTTTTTCTAAACGGTGTTGACCCAAGTCAATAAAATAATCCATATGAAGACTTGCACATGGGAAATATTCATTGCTAGACATGAGTATCTAAATATTAGATTATTTCTGCCATCTCAAAATTGAATATCCAGTACTTCCCGCTCAATCTCCCGTGCCAAAAAGAAAAAAGAAATCTGTGTTTCCAGGAGACAAAGAAAATAAATGCTTAAGACCAAATATATTAAACAGCTTCTCCCTATGACTGCAGCATTCAACACATATCCAACACCTTTACTGATGCTGGAAAGGCTGGAATAGCCTACAGATTGTAATTCTGGTATATTTTACCATACTTTAGTTTTTTTCCTGAGACTTACTTGACCAAGGCTCATACTTAACTAGGACTACAAAATCTTATCACTAAACTAGCCCCCCAGTTACACTATCACATTGTAGTAGTTCTGGAATCCCTGCACAAGCTTGAACAAAATCAGACCACTGAGTCTCCTCACAGATCAGTCACCAGGTAAAGGCACTCAACAGTCTTGAGCATTAACAGTAGCTTTAATTAGACCTTTCACTTTGGTCTTCCTAATGTTAAACAGAGCAAGGAATACTCTAATTTCCTTTTTTATCACAATTCTGGACCCTGACTTCCACTAATGGGAAGGTCATTTGCTGGTGGCTGCAGCCTATCACTGCACTAAGATCTACTAGGCAGTATCCTCCTCAGTGAAAGGGAAACAAAACAAAGACCTAATCATTCATCTCTTTGAAGATGTACAGTAGTATCTATTAAAAAGTATTTCCCAGCCAGGCGTGGTGGCATGCACCTGTAATCCCAGCCACTTGGGAGGCTGAGGCAGGAGGATCCTGAGTTCAAACCTAGCCTCAGCAACTCAGTGAGACCCTATCTCTAAGAAAATATAAAAAAGGACTGGGAATGTTGCTCAGCGGTTAAGTGCCTCTGGGTTCAATCCCCAGTATCACCCCCCCAAAAGAAGTCTTTCCCACCAATAGCACTCTGTACGCTTGAGATCGTACACCATGGCTGAGGCAATCCAGAAAAGATTCAGCAGTAAAACAAGCCACAGTGGTCTGCTGCATTAGCAACACGGCAGAGAAAACTATTACTAGCCCAGCTTCTTCTGCCAAGCCTAAGGTTACAAACTACTTTTTTTTTTAGAGAGAGAATTTTTTTTAAATATTTATTTTTTAGTTTTCGGTGGACATAACATCTTTATTTTTATGTGGTGCTGAGGATCGAACCTAGCGCCCCACGCACACCAGGTGAGTGTGCTACCGCTTGAGCCACATCCCCAGCCCAACTACTTTTTAATTTTAGTCACAAGTTTGCAATTGTCATTAAAAACAAGTGTGGCCTTTTTCCAGCATTGTATCACAAGCGATTATTTCCTCTTCTACCTCTCAGAGTAAGGAATTCTGGTCTAGACATGATAGATGGCAAAAGTGAACTGGGATCTGTGCCTATTCCACACTTGTCATGAATCTCTGTATGAGCCACCTTTTTTTTTTTAAAGGTGCGAGGTGGGGATTGAACCTAGGGCCCTGAGCATGCTAAGTGCTCTGCCACTGAGCTACATCCCCACTTTTTATGTTCAATTTTTAATGTAACCCACATTTTCCTTCTTTCCAATTTATATTACAACTGATAAATTTTAACCTATTTTCCAGGATAGCAACAGTTGCAAGCCAACAGTGCTATAGCAACATACCATTTTTGTCTAGACAGCAACACTTGTGCAATTAATTAAATATACACAAAAAAAAAAAGCAGAAATAAATGTACTTATAGCTCTAAGACATAAAAGCTCACACTAGGGCTAGGGTTGTAGCTCAGCGGTAGAGCTTTGCCTCACACACGTGAGGCACTGGGTTCAATCCCCAGCACCAGATAAATAAATAAATAAATAAGTTATGTCCATGTACAACTCAAGAATATTTTTTAAAAACCCTCAAACTATAATTGAAATAGAGATCATCAGGAATGCCCAAATAAATCTACAATCTTGATAAAAATTATTTACTAGAGTACAGGTGAAATTGTGAAGGAAAATATCTAAAAAAAATTTAGAAAGATAAGAAACAATCAAGGAATGTGTGAGAACAGTTAAGGCTTTAGCGAAAAACAAGTTTATGGGAAGAGACTCATCTAAAAAGATAGTCTTATGAAACTGTAGGCCCATTTCAGGGAAACTTTTATGATTTAAAGGGAAGACTTATACCAGACAAGTAAAAGTCACTACTAAAACAATTTGAGTTATATAGTCTATTTCAGTTATTTATGAAAACCTGTAAACCACTACCACTCATTTACAATACAATCCAGTTCTCTTAAATTTGTAGTTGGGAAAAATCAGTGGGTGCTTAACACTAAATATAATTTAGATTCACCTGGGCACTCCTCCAAAAAATTTAAATCAGGACTCTCCACAGGCATCAAGATTGAGAACCACAGAAATACCTATCCCTTTCCTATTAAGTTAACTTTTAATATGCAGTTTGGAGGGGCAGGGGATTTTTTCATTTATATAGGGGCGGGGAGGGATGAGGAAAGGCTGACACTAAGAACAAGATAGGAGGAAAGAGTTCTAATGTGCTACTGCACAACAGGGAGACTATGGGTAACAATAACACACCACCCATATAAAAAATCTACAAGAAAGGTTTTTGAAAGTTTTCACCATAAAGACATGATGAATGCTTGAGACAGATATGCTTGATCCATTAAATCCCAAGTTTTCAATTCTGTAAGTACTTCAATGAAACTGACAAAGGTGCATTAAAATGGGCCCAAAATCATAACAGACCTTATATGAACTATTATATTCTTATATAAAATTATATACTGTAAGTTTTTATAGGTGATCTACATCTAGGACTATGAATCAAGAGTAAAACCAATTTAAACATCCCATAATGTACACATGTACTGAAATAGTACATGGTACCCCATTAATAAGTACAATTTTTATGTTTTTATCTATTTAGAAAACAAAATATTATCCAATGTAAAAAAAAAAATCATTTGCTTAAAACTCTCAACCTAAGATATAAGCACATCTATTCAGTTGCAAAAGCAAACTGCTGCAAGCCCTTAGTACAGAGTGCTTGCAACATTCATTTAAAACTTTGTTTTGCAGTGCCAGGGATCAAATACAAGACCTCTTGCATGCTAGGTAAGCACTCTGCTGCTTAGTTACAACCCCAGTCCAGAACATTCATTCATTTTTTTAGAAAAGTCTTCTCAACAGGCCTTTGTTCTTAGAATACAAGCAGCTTTTTAAGTTTGTTATGAAAATCCTATTCTCATCTATTTCTAATCTAAAGAAATCGACAATATCACCCAACTGAAGTGATTCCCATCCAAATATAATTAAAAATTTTTATAGGAAATTACCATACTTACCAACATGTTTTCTTCACACATTTCATTAGCTGGTAAGGTACTAACATTTCTAGTTTAGAGGAAAAGCCTAGTCATTCTCTTCAATTCAATAATTATCCTAAAACCAAGCAATTTTCATCACAAGCCCCATTCTGCTAATCACAAGATTTAGAGAATCTGTACCTGGATAACAGTACCATATCAACTACAAGATTTGTATTTCTGTAGAGTCAATTCTTATAGGACCTGAGAAACAGCTACTTGGTTCCAAATCACTTGGGCATTGCATTAAAACCACTACATACAGATGGGCTGCGTGTCCAGTTAAGGTATAAAGTGATAAAGCAAAAAAAAAAAGAATATTTGTTAAAAAAAAAATTAAATGGAAATATGCAGAAATATTAAGGGCTTTTTGCTCTGGACAATTAACCCCATATACCAGATATACTATCTTTCAGATCAGAGAAAACGTGGACCACTCAAGAAAATGTATGCCACTTATACACTTCAAAATTGTGCATTTTCCTAAAGCTTTGTAAAAAAAGGGAAATGCTGTAATTTCTCTATTGGTTCCAAATTCAACACAGTACAAAGTAAGGAAACATTTATTTACTGCACTCACAAGTAATGATTAAATGTCCTAAGGTTTATCCCAGTAGCTTAAAATATCAAATGAAATGTTAGTTCTCAGAGAACTGTTTTAGCTTCTAATTCCATTCAAAGGATAAAAAGGGGAAATTTTCATTAAATGTTGAACACTGGCACTTCAAGTGCCACTTACCTCTTGTGGTCAATGCACATAATACTAAACCATGATCCAACAATATATTTCCATTTCACTTCACTATCACTTATAGACTTTAACACAGGCTAATGTTTTCACTGCTTTCTTAACATGACTTAACAAATAATGTACAAATTGTTAAGAACTTACCAATTTGTCAATCATTTAAAGAATTCATGTAATGTACACAGCAATATAATATTTATAACCAGAAGCACATCTATTTATATGGCACATCTATTTAGCGTTAAATAGACATATCATTTAAGTTCTACCTAAAAACATGCCATTTTATTAAAATAAAACCCTAAAAACTTAACTCGCAAATTATAAATAAATATAGTTTCACAAGCAGATCTTATTGAAGCAGCATAGATTTCCTTTCTTACAAACAAGTAAAGAGCATACCAGCAATATGACAAATTTACTCTATGCAATATAAATAAATCCTCAAATTCATGTCAAGAATGTCAAGGAGTTCAAGAGAGATTATGTAGTGGCCTTGATTTTTTTATTTTTCTTTACCTAGAATTCTACAAATTCTAAAATTTATCAATTGATTAATCTTTTTAAATAAACAGCACCAGTCTTGTTCATAGATACAATTAAAATTTGACTTTCTCAGTTCTTAGTTCACAAGTTTATTATGAAAAACACTGCAGTGCTCTTGTGCAGTAACATCGTCTTACAGGAGGGGGAAAAACAGTTCTGTTCAAAACAACTCACCAGGTTCTGACAATAACAAAGAACAACATGGGGCTGAGATTTGAGAAGGGAATAAACTGAGTGCAGACAAATCATACAATTAAATTAAACGGTTTCCCTGAAAATAAACAAAACGATTTCAAAACTCACAAGTAGAGGGGAGGCCTTGGTACTTATTTTTAAAAATGTTCATTAAGCTCCAATGATTGTTTGCTGCTATCCTTATCTACAGTCATGCTGAGTAAAGCTATAGCTAAATGGAAGTTAAATTGTATTCACGAGGTGTTAATGTTTACATCTTATTATCTGCAGTCTCTCAGAGAAAGCAAAAGTAACTACTATGCCAGAAACTGGTTTCTTGACCAACAATGTCGCTTCAGCATGCAATGAACTGGTTCATTCTAAAGTGGTCACGGCTGTTGATGACAAGAGGCTTTGTATTTTTATATGGCACATCTTTTGGTCCATGTGAAAACAAGTTTTTTGAATGTTAACTATTTTCTGACACTTTGGAGTTACTGTTGCTCTTCCCATTTCCATTAGGTCAATATATGGTTCATGGCAATACTGTACAAGTTTAAAATTTCATTACAGGAAGTAGTCTGGGGTACGACGAGTAACATGTGGTTCGCCTCTACGAGGTGCTGGATCAAACTGCAAGCTGCAAAACCAGACAAGATGCATGATCAATCAATGAATGTCTTGGGAACAATCAAAATTAAGAACTCCAGTTGTCAAATTTACACGTTTCTTTCCTATCTAAGTTTAACTTCTCTTAATGAAACAGAGCCATAATTGCAGCTGAATCGTGCATTTACTTTTCTAATTGTCCTCCCCTTGAAAAATCCAAAGCAACTTTAGTCAGAGAAGTTATGCTTTTACACAATGGGGGTCCCTCTAAGACTGTTTGAAAAGAAGGGTTTTAACAGTAATTAAGGGGGAGTCAAAAGAAAGGGTTCTATTAAATAAAAAATAAATAAAAGAGGAGACAGGGACTTGTTATGTTGGCCAGGGAGGCCTCAAACTCACAATCCTCCTGTCTCTGCCTCTTGAGCAGCTAGAACTACAGGCTCCTTTAAGCACTTCTAGTTAATAAGCACTGGTATCAGGGATTGAACCCAGGCTAACAACTGAGCCACATCCCCAGCCCTTTTTTATATTTTTATTTAGAGACAGGGTCTCACTGTTTTGCTTAGGGCCTCACTATATTGGTGAGGCTGGCTTTGAACTGGTAATCCTTTTGCCTTAGCCTCTAGAACCACTGGGATTACAGGCGTGGGTGGCTAATAAGCAAATTTTAAAATATCTAACATATTGTATCTGATCTCTCATCCAGAGAACAAAAACATGGTTTAAAAGTCCAAAAATCTAATAATTCATATTAGAATCTGTGCAGGATGAGTTAGCTTCTGCTGATGTGTTTCAACATATCACTGCTCCATTTCAGAGACTCGCCAAGTTGGAATCTGGCTTAGCTAAGTTTATAAACACTATTAAAATTAAATATTCAGGTATAACAACCAAATGTTCAAGTGTAAATACTTACAAAGAATATTTTAGAGTATCATCAAGTTCCATGATTGCAGCTTGGTTACCGCAACGATAACAATAGTTTGGAGCACTGAAAATTGTTACTACATTCCGATCATGGCACCAGTTATATCCCTACAAGGAGAAGAAAGGAATTAAAGTTTACTTATTCCTTTCCTATACAACTAAATGTGACATCCCTCCCCCCCACAAAGACTTAAGAAATATTAATACTTTCTTTCTAAACAACATATAAAACACAAATATACCCACTTTTCCCCAATTACAAAATTATTTTATTATAAAACTTAAAAAAAAAAATAGCACTAATCACTAAAGAATAAACTGCTTATCTATCTGCCCTTCTTTCAATGACAGTGTCTCATCACCCTCTCTTCTGGCAAAGATCTTAAACAGCCCATTCCTTTTAGAGGCAGATGCCTAATATCCTTCAAAGGCCCACATGTTAAAGATGTGGTGTCCAGGGCTAGGGATGTGGCTCAAGCAGTAGCGCGCTCGCCTGGCATGCGCGCGGCCCGGGTTCGATCCTCAGCACCACATACAAAGATGTTGTGTCCGCCAAAAAACTAAAAAATAAATATTAAAATTCTCAAAAAAAAAAAGATGTGGTGTCCAGGGTGCAGCTATTGGGAGGCAGTGAAACCTTTAGAAGGTAAAGCCTAGTGAAAGATCCTTAGGTCATTGGGGGGGGGGGGGGAGATGCTCTGTCTCCTCTGCTTCTTGGCTAGAGAGGTTACCATCTGCTTTGACATAGGGTCCTGCGACGTGCCACCCTCTGACAAAACCTATGGGGCAAAATAAACCTCTCTACTTCACAAATAGCTTATATTGAGTATTTTGTTTTAGCGACAAAAAGCTGATTAATATACCTACTCCTGGACACCAGAATCTTGTTTGTTCCTCAGTCATAAGTGAAGATCCCTAAGCCAGTCAAAGCCCACCTGAATAAATGAGCTACTTCTGACACTTTTTGTGTTTAGTTGTGTTCACAAAGCTCTTTCCCTATCTTTAACCAAGTAAGATTTTATTATAATAATCACAAAGATACATTAGTATTAATTTAAATAGTACCCTGAAAGTATACTAATTAAACGTTCTGTGCAATTTTTTCATTCAAATCTCCTGTAATCCTACCATCTAAAGGACCACTTAACATTTGTTTCTTCCTTCTCTCCTACATATATATATACATGCTAAATATATGAAATAAACAAAAATGGGATCATAAAATGTATCCCTCCTAGCACTGTACTTTCCCACCCTTAAATCTCAAGTTTATTTCCCTGCCATTAAGAATTTTGTGAAATTGTATTAAATATGTATTTCATTATCATCAAAAGTTTGATTTTAATTCTAATGTACATCTACTGAAAAGATTCAGGCTATAATGGCAAACTCACCAGAAGAAATACATGGACTGTGCCATTAAAGCATTAATGTGAATGCCACTTCTTTTCTATATCCTTTTTTCTTTAGTTTACTAAAAAGCAAATCATGTTTCCAAGAATAAAACCTACCTCCATCACCAGCTGGTGAGCTCTAGACACCAACGTGAGGCCATTGGCATGATTAAATGTCTCAGAAATATCTTGTCCAAATGTGTAACCAGCTCCTCGAGGAGATATACCCCAACCACCACGATCATCTGGATCTGACCACAGCAAGTCACACATTGGACCCTAAAAAGCAGATTCACATTACAAACAGCTTTACAAAAATGGCAAATGCATAATTTGAGTAATTCATCAGAAACAGCACAGTACTAAGTCATACATTTTAGTGGGATTTGCTGAAAACAGTAACAGATTTTACAGTTAAAACATCCAGGGGCTGGGGTTGTGGCTCAGCAGTACAGAGCTTGCCTAGCATGTGTGAGGCCCTGGGTTCAATCCTCAGCACCACATAAAAATAAAGGTATGGTGTCCAACTACATCTAAAAAAAAATAAATATTAAAAAAAAGACATTTTTCAGCTTTATGAGGAACAGATGATATCACTGGGTCCTAAAAGCAACATGTCCTAATCTCCCTGTAGTAAGCAAATTTCAGTACTAAGCAGTATTGGCTAGTGTGTAAGGTATTGGATATTAAATCGGGGGGTAGGCAATCTACCACTGAATTACACTTCCAGGCCTTTTTGTTTTCAATCAGGGTCTCAATAGGTTGCCCATGCTGGCCTTGAATGAGGGATCCTCTTGTCTTTGAGCCTCCAGAGTCACTGGAATTACAGGTACACACCACTATGCCTGGGTAAGGCAAAGATTTTTTAAACGAAGTAGGTTCTTTTTAAGCCTAGTCCCACAGCTGTTATTATTTTAGCAGGTATCCTGGCTTCTGAACAATGGGGTTGACAAGAGTGCTTATACCGTGTGAAATTATTTTTGAGGATTAAATGAATAAATACATAATGAACCAATTACAATTAAATTTCTCATCTCCCTAAAAAGAATTTATTACCAAATAAAAGTCTTACCTCATGGGGAACTTCCTGTAGACGATCAAGTGCTCTGATATGATCCAGTGTGTCTATGGATGGTGAGAGGCCACCATGTAGACAGAAGATCTGAAGAAAGATTGGTTTAATATGTTAACTTCATCTAAACAAACTGTAAATATTCTAGACTAAGCTTTAGGCAGTAGACCCTGTCACTGGCCTCACTAATATTTCTAGGCTCTGCCTAAATGAGATTTAACTCTGAAGGATCCATTTTTGTTCCAGGAAACACTAAACTACTGAATACCCTTTTTTATTTCCTGATAAACCATCACTACTTTGTCTACCTCAGTCAACTCCTTCAAGAAAATGTCTAATTCTCCCATCCCTTGCCAGAGATTAGTATAGTATCTTCATATTCAGAATTCTCTTACTTGTAAGTTCTGTGTACATCTCTACCTGGACCAGTAACAAGTACAATACATCTCCTAGACTTCTCCCAAAACAGACTAACAGGCTGGATGGTCTATGTCTTCCATCCCTGTTATCCCACCTCATACAAAGAGAGCATTTTTAAAAGTTTTAAGTGAATGCTATGAATATTTGGGGAAAAAAATCCCTAAAAAGGATGTGAGGATGGAAAAAAAGTTAAAGGCACATAAACATTAAGGAAGGAGGTCCCTAAGAATAATCAGCAATATGAGTGCACAAACCTGCCCATCCACCAAGGCAGTGAGAGGAAGATAGTCAAAAAGATCTGTAAAATATTTCCAAACATTTGCATTTCCATATTTTCTTAAACATTCATCATAGAAACCATAAACTTGTGTAATCTGCCTGCTCTCGTGATTCCCCCGAAGAATGGTGATGCGTTCCCGGTAACGAACCTAAAACAATAAAATGGAAAACATTAAAAACTCTTTGAAAATTCAAATGATAATTCAGAGTTCCAATTATATTGAAAAAAACAGCACATATCCCCCAATTACAGTGAAATGAAATCACAAATCCATGATGAACATTTTTTTTTAAAGAGAAGGAGAGAGGGGCTGGGGATGTGGCTCAAGCGGTAGCGCGCTCGCTTGGCATGCGTGCGGCCAGGGTTTAATCCTCAGCACCACATACAAACAAAGACGTTGTGTACGCCAGAAAAAACACTAAAAAATAAAAAAAAAATTCTCTCTCTCTCTTTAAAAAAAAAGAGAGAGAGAGAGAATTTTAATATTTTTTTTTTTTCAGTTTTTGTCGGACACAACATCTTTGTTTGTATGTGGTGCTGAGGATCGAACGCTTGAGCCACATCCCCAGCCCTGATGAACATTTTTAAATGCCCATGGGAGCCACGTGCAGTGCAGCACACTGTAATCCCAGGAACCTGGGAGGCTAAGGCAGGAGGACCTTTGCAAGTTCCAGGCCAGCCTCATCAATTTCGCAAGACTATCTTGAAATTTAAGAAGGACTGAGGATGTGGCTTAGTGGTAAAATGTTCCTGGGTTCAATCCCCAGTACCAAATAAGTTAAATGAATAAAAATTAAATTTAAATAAATAAATAAAATCAAACTCCCTTTACTACTGACTTTATTATATCAAGCATAATCATGATATAAAACCTCATACATGATTTTTCAGTTCAATGATTTTTAGTAAATTTATAGTTTTGCAATAATCATCACCCACAAAAGACCCTCATGCCTGGTTGCAGTCACTCCTCACTCCCACTCCTATTCTCACTTCCTGGCAACCGCTAATTTACTTTCTGGCTCTTGAGATTGCCTCTTCTAGAAATTACTTAGAAATAGATTAATACAATAACATAGTATTTTGTGCTAAATATTACTTGAAATATTTTTGATGCTTATCCACATTGTAGCACAGATCAGTAGCTGGACCATTTCACATTCCCACCAGCAAAGCATAAGGTCATTCTAATGGATGTAAAGGGTTATCTCACTTTGACTTTAGCTGCATTCCCTTGATGACTAATAATGTTAAAGCTTCTTTTCATATGCTTCCTGACCAACATATCTTCTTGGATAAAATATCTACTCAAATGTTTTGCCCATTTTAAAATTATGTTTTGTTATTAAGAGTTTTTTTTTTTTAAATTTTGATCCTGAGGGTGTAGCCCAGTGGTAAAGCCTGTGCTTAGTATGCATTAGGCCCGAGTTCAATCCCAGCACCAATAAATAAATATCTGAAAATTCACATACACATACTTTTTCTTCTCCGAAGTCTTTTAAGAATAAAAAGGTCAATTATGATGAAGCCAAATTTTTCTATTTGTGATGGATGTTTCTGTTAACAAATCTTCTAATATAAGCAGTATCACAAAGATTTTTTCCTAAGTTTTATTCTAGAAGTTTTGCATTTTAAGCCTATGATCCATTTGCTGAAAACATCCTTTCCAACAATATTCAATTTCCAAGGCTACCATGACAAAAATACCATGGACTAAATATTTAAACAACAGAAACTTATTTCCGCATAGTTCTGGAGGCTAAAATCCAAGATCAAGGTGTAAGCAGAGTTTATTTCTTTTGAAGGCCTCTCCCTGATTTATATAGACATGTTCTCCATGTCTTTCCATCCTCTCCCCTTATCTGTGCCTTAATCTCTTTTCATTTTACCTTAATTACCTCTGTAAAGGCTATAGTTCCAAATATAGTCACATTCTGAGGTACTAGGGGTTAGGACTTCAACATACGAACTTTAAGCAGACACAATTCATTCACCCTCCTGCATGAATTCTTAAAGGTAGTATATTTGCTTTTTTTGCATGCTGGGATTGATACATAGTAGTAGCTGGATAGTTTCTTTTATAGCACCTAGAGTCACAGCAGAACAGTTCCTCCATCTAATCCAACACTTTCATTTTTAAAATGCAGAACATAATAAGTTCTAGACCATTTTACACAATTCAAATATTAATCACCTAAAATTAAATTCTGACTCTTGCTGAAATCACATCTCTACAACAGCCATTTTATCATTCTGAATATTCTTTAATAATAAAAATAACTGTTGCCTAAGAAAACCAGCGGGGGGCACTTCTTCCCCAAAAAAAGTAAATTCAAAGAATATTTTTTTAAAAATACCCTATTTAGCTTCCTTAGCTAGGTGGCATGGCGCATGCCTGAAATTCCAGCATCTAGGGAGGCTGAGGAAGGAGGGTCACAAATTTCAAAGCCAGCCTCAGCAACTATGCGAGTTCCTATATTAAAATAAAAAGGGCTGGGAATGTGGCTGGATGGTTAACACTCCCGGGATCAATCTCCAATTTAAAAAAAAACAGGAAAACAGAAAGAAGTATTCCACCTCCAAAGAATACCATTTTGTATTTCACCTTCAAATCTTCACCTGTATATCTCGCAAAGCTACAACCAGTGTGGGTATGGGTACCCACACGCATATGGGGTTTGGGATTGGTTACTGGAGATTGAACCTGAGGCATTTTGACACTGAACCACATCCTAGCCCTTTCTAGTTTGAGACAGGGTCTCACTAAATTGCTTAGGGCCTTGTTCCAAGTAGCTGGGATTACAGGAAATGACCATTTCTAATATTCTAGATTTTTGTCATGCTAACAGCTGCAAACTGGGATTTAAGTATCCACTCACTGTTGAGATATTTAGATCAATATTTTCTGATAAAGATAATGCTGTAATGTTTATAAGAATAATGCTCTTTTCCTCTTGAAATTCTTACTTAGTAAAATTCTAATTATAGGATTATTGTCAGAGAATATAAATACTCCAACACTTGTTATGTTTATCATTATACTACCTCTCCATAATCAATGTACTAAACTAAAATTCCTATCTCGCCAATCCTAACATTTTTCAAATAAGCTGATTAAGATATTCTCTTTTGTTTTTATTCTGTGCCATCCTCTTACTCAGAATGTAGGCATCTATAATTATAATTCTAAAGTCCAAATTATTTGCATTCCTAAAATGTGGAATTTTCTTCTAAAACTTAACATTCATAAGGAGAAAATCACAAATCATGCGAACAAGAGGACTGTCTTAACCCAGTTTAAAAGGCCCAAAACATAAAACTGAAATTACCTTAAGAGCTACAAGCAGTGTGACTGTTTCAACTGAATAATATCCTCTGTCAACATAATCTCCCATAAACAAGTAATTTGTATCTGGTGATTTGCCACCAATTCTAAACAGTTCCATGAGATCATGAAATTGCCCATGTACATCTCCACAGACAGTGACTGGACATCGAACCTCTTGCACGTTGGATTCTTTTGTCAGGATTTCTTTAGCCTACAGAGGGGGGAAAAATGAAGCAATCATTTGGCTTTAAACAACATTAATGAAGATACATTTACTCACACTTGATGTACCCAAATAGGCAAATTTAGTAAGATGAAACTGCAGACATGTATAATCCCATTAAAATAAGATATGGCTAGATTCCATTCATTGGCTATCTCACCCCTGATATCTAGGAGAAAAAATGTGTAGCATGGTACATACAAAGCCCCACTCTTATCAATATCAGGAGTTATTAAGCCTATCAAATTGCCATCTAACTAAAGACTACTGAGACCATTAGCTGCCACAAAAGACCAACTATAATGCTGCCACTCTGGGGATTTCAGGCTATAAGAGGGTTTCTTGGTCAGGCTTTATTTCTCCTAATTTTTGGAAGACATTAAAATTTGGTCTTTTAGCATATTTCTTTATACCTAAATATAAAGTTCTTTTTCAATGAACAGTTTTTCAATGCACAGGCTTTTTACGTTGCTTTTATAAAATCATTTGGTGGCATGTACATTCCCCCATAAAATCACAAATTCAGGGGACTGAAGCTATAGCCCATGGCAGAGCACTTGCCTAGCCATGTGTGAGGCACTGGGTTTGATCCTTAGCACCGTGTAAAAAAATAAATAAAGGCATGCTGTCCATCTACAACTGTAAATTAAAAAAAAAAAAAAAAGGAAGAAAAATCACAAATTCAAACATTACTTTTAATGGCAAACATTTCACACATTAGAAATCCACGTATCATTTATTTATTCAATAAACATTTACCGATCACTTATTATATGCTACAAACACTGGAAGACAATCATTTGCTCAACCATCGGAATGACAATATGTGCCAAGCCCTGTACTGGCCACTGGAGTTCTGTAATGTACAAGCAGATTACTCCTACTGCAGGGAAAGAAAGGCTACAAGTAACCAAGCAAAAAAGTACAGACTATGTAATGCCATGAAGGAAAAGAGGTTAACTAAGGAAAACTGCTTTTAAATTAGATAGAATAACAAAATGTAATAAAAAAAATTGTTGCTAATGAGCCAAATGCTCATTACATTTAGGAACAACAAAGGACAACAAGTTTAAGACAGTGGTGTGCAACCTTAGTTGCACATTAAACATCCCAATCGGGCTGGGGATGTGGCTCAAGCGGTAGCGCGCTCGCCTGGCATGCGTGCGGCCCGGGTTCGATCCTCAGCACCACATACAAACAAAGATGTTGTGTCTGCCGAAAACTAGAAAATAAATATTGAAAAATTCTCTCTCTCTCTCTCTTCTCCCTCTCTCTCTCACACTCTCTCTTTAAAAAAAAAAAAAAAATCCCAATCCCCAGGTTTTCCTTCCCCAATTAAGTTGAATTCTTTGAAAGTGGGATCCAAACAATTTTTTAAGTGTCTCTTCAGGTGCTGGTACTTTTTTAGGTACAACCAAGTTTTAGAACCACAGTTTTCTATTCTTCAAACATTTTGAGGCACTTATTTCCAAATTCTCAACAACCACTAACATCCCCAAAACAATAATTTGATCCAACATTTTTAGGAAGTTTAGAAAAAAAATCATTTCAAAGTATACTCCACTGTCATGTCCACTAATTAGAACAAATTAAAAAAAAACCCTCATTTCAAGACATTATTAAGAAATACAGCTAATCCACTGTCTTACTGTATTTTGAGAAATTTCTAGGATAATTCCTATCTCTGTTGATTTATCATTACTAAAAAGCAGCTAGCTGCTCAGTAGATATAATCCATTATTAAGTCTTCTGGTATTAACACATGTCTAATGTTTTCAATAGCACCTGGCAAATACTAATGCAAATAGCTGAGAATAAAATAACAGATCCTACCTCAGAGAAGACTGAAAAAATTATTCAAACGTTTTAAAAACAAAGACTAATAGTCATATACCATGTAAGTCTCAACAAGATGTAACTTTCATATTTAATTCTATCAGAAGCTAAATTTCAAAATACACTTCTACACACTTGATTACCTAAAAGGCTATTTAAAATGAATGGTTAAAAAGTTGTATTCAGGACTGTCGAAAAATTCCTTAATTTTTGTGAAAGAAAAATTAAGCCTAAATGCTACTTGTTTCTTTTATGTCAATTTAGGCAAATCACAATGATAAACATTCAAGTTGTGCAAAGAAAAAATTTTCTTGTCAAAGAAAAAATTGACTCAGCTGAAGCAGAATGACCCTTGAGCTCCATTCCAGAACTCCTACTTCCCTAGGGCAAGGAAGCCATCAATGGCAGTTTAGTGTCTGTTCTTTCAAACCTTGTTAAAAAGGTTTACATATGAACTGTATGCCTGTGAGAAACATAATAGTTTCCCCGTGTTTTAAAATTAGAACACTGTTCAACAGCCTGCATTTCTGAAAATACATCTCAGAGTTCATAACACACACATAAAGACCTTTTAATTCCTTAGTGGATGCAGAATAGTCCCTGACAGATTACAATTGGAGGAGTGATATGTATAAAAATACAGAAATGTATATCCTAGTAATTTGCTCCCTTGTAGACATATGCAACATATTTCCTAAAATACTATGAAGTAGACTTACTGGTGTAATTTAGTAGTTTGTATTTTCAATGTTTACACTATCAATTCATCTTCCCAAATGGAAAGGACACTATAATCATTAAGTGAAAACTTCAACTTCTAAATCGGGGAAAGCCAACCAAAGTTCTTTCTGTCCCTCCTACCAAATTTCACAGAAAAGAATTCATAATAACTAAATATTGGAGCAAATACTAATATATCAAATGTAATCATCAAGGCAACTACTAAAAAAACAAACAAAAATGAAGGGTTGGGAACCAGCTGTAGAGTGCTAGCATGTGTGAGGCCCTGGGTTCAATCGCCAGTACTCCAAGGTGGGGGGAGCGCTTGCAAATATGCTTTTTAGGTTTTTGTCTCAATTTACCAACTTTAACATAATTATTTTTACATAATTACTGACCATAATATACTATTTGGAATGCTAGAACATTAAAAGCTGAAGATGTCTACACTAAAGATTATTTTACATTCAGGAAAATATTAGAAAAGGAAAAAGAAAAAAAGAGATGTTTGAGGAAAGCTGTGTTATATATAACCAGAAGTCAGGCCTGAAGAACCTCTCTCTCTAGGGGTCACCCTAGAGCTTCCAGGCCCTCATGAATCATTAGCTTCAAAGATGGCTACTAATCTCAACTCTCTAGTTCAGTACTCAAAAAAGAAGCAGGTTTCTTTTTTTAAAAAAATATTTATTTGTAGATAAACACATAGCATATTTATTTTTTATGGTACTGAGGATCGAACCCAGTGCCTCACACACTCGAGGCAAGCACTTTACCACTGAGCTACAGCTCTAGCCCCAGAAGCAGGTTTCTTAAGGTAATTTAATTAACATAAGAGGCTTGATGTGTGTGTTTAAATAACCATTTTTTTTCACTCTAACATTTTGACTTCTGTATTTAAAGGATCATGTTATGGTACGAAGCAGAAGAAAAACAAAACACATGCATTCTAAATTTTTTTTGCTTCTCCTAAAAACATTTTTTTGCAAGGCTTTCAAATTTGTCAGCTGATATAATTAACATTTGAAAATAATGTAATCAGTGCCATATCGCTTTGATTCAGCAAAACCCCTTCTGAAATTCAAATGGCACAAAACTAAAATAAATGAATTAAAAAAAAGAGATTTGATATATAAACGTCCTAGAACAAGGTTAAAACTGGAAATAGGCTACTCTATTAATAGAATCTTATTACAAGTAATTGTGGGAAGTTAAAAATTTTTCGGTGTCCTAGAATCTGAAGAATTTGTGGAGACTAACTTGAAAGCAATCTGTGAGAGTATTAGTTTATTATCAAAATCCTCTCAGCATTCTGGTTTGGATTCAGACATCTCAAAATTATTTCCAACCCATATAAAACAATCACCTAGGGGCTGGGGATGTGGCTCAAGTGGTAGCATGCTCATGGGGCATGCGTGCGACCAGGGTTCGATCCTCAGCACCACATACAAACAAAGATGTTGTGTCCACCGAAAACTAAAAAATAAATATTAAAAAAATATATAAATAAAAAAAATATTCTTTAAAAAAAATAAAACAACCACCTATACAGTAAACAATTGATTCTTTTTTTTTTTTTAAACGGTAGAGGGGATTGAACCCAGGGCCTTGTGCATGCAAGGTAAGCACTATACCAACTGAGCTATACCCCTAGCCACCTGGACATTTTTTATTATAGGCCGTCCTAAAACATCATATCATAAAATGAAGGTAGGCTTAAACTAGACCTCACAAATCATCCAGGCCAAGATTTTTAAAGGAAGATAATTTATTAAAAGAGAAAAAAAAACATGGAACTAACAACAACAGACTCATTAACCTATTCGGGGAAAAAAAGCTGCAAATTATGTATTTCTATATTCAATCAAGTAAACATTTAAAAGCACAAAATAATTACAACTGTGACAAAAATCCTTTGAATAAAAGACTGAAAAACATTAAAATGTTGGGTTATGGTTCATTTTTCAGTGGTGAACCTGTAATACATGGCTATCTGTCTATTCCTACCCACAAAAACTACTCTTTCTTGGAACTTGCTGTTTGTACTCACAAAGACCTCTTTTAAAAAAAAGACTGACCGATGTCCCATTTTATTTTCATGAACTTAATTTCATGTGACATTGTCATGATCATTTAAAACTACTATATAACACCCCCCTGAAGATCTATATATCTTTACTGTTTATCTGAATTTCTCTTCAGGAAATTTTCAATTGTGGGACCACACAGCAAAATAGTAAAACCTGTTTGTTGTTCACAGGCATTGCAAAATTGGATTACGCCAAATTGTTACACAATAATAGAAAGAATGCACCCATTCTCACATATAAAATGTCATCTCACTGGTTTAATAGGCAATTTTTCACTTCTGGGTACAACTTTTTCATTCCATGTTTATTTACTATATGTTATTTCTCCTCAACAAATTGTCCACC